GGCAGCCTCCTCCTCCTCGGTGGTCCCGATCTCCTTGATGATCTTCTTCGCCTTGAGGGTTTGGGTGACGGACTCCTTCCAGAGCCTCCTGGCGCAGTAGAAGTGGAGCGGGGGGTCCCAGTCCTTGATCACGAGGTCACCCTCGAATATGAGCCCCGTGCAGCCGGAACCTGCCCGAAGCTATTCACAATCACGCTGAACTCCAACGCATGAGACCTGCCTTCAAAATTCACGACTGTCAATAGTACGCCGACTCCCACGAACCGGACCTGACCGATGAACAACGGCTAGTGTACACAAACGTGCTTGAATCCGTTCACACTGACAAAGGACGCCCATACATGATAGACGCTCCTGCTGGCACCGGTAAGACCTCCACAGAAAAGTGCCTGGCGTCCAGGTTAAGAGGTGAAGGGAATTTAGTCTTAATCGTTGCTTCAACCGGCATTGTCGCTTTGCAACTGCCTGGAGGATGGACTGCACACTCCATGTTCAAGCTCCCAATGGACGATAATCTGACACCGTCGTGTGTCTGCAACATAAGCAATTCGACACAAAGGGCGGAGCTCATTCGCAACTCGAACCTCATCATTTGGGACGAATTACCTATGACACACAGGTACTGCGTCGAAGCTCTCGACAGAACGCTTAGAGATCTCATGAAGATCAACGAGCCGTTTGGAGGTAAAACCATTCTCTTTAGCGGTGATTGGCGCCAAACGGGCCCCATCGTGAAGAACGCATCCCCGACTGACACCGTCGACGCCGCCTTCATCTCCAGTCCTCTTTGGAAAACCGTAAATCGTTTCTGTTTTACCAAGTCGCAGCGTGCTAAAGAAGATCCCCAATACTCTTCTTCGTAAGATCCATCGGTGAAGGCACACGTCCTACGTCACCCCTTCCTGATGGCTCGAACCTCACGCCTTTAAACAATTTCCAAGATCAGGACCCTACCAACCACTTCCAGCTTAAGTACACCACCACTTCGATGAACTTATTAGCTTCGTTTACCCCGACCTTGCTCAGGATTCCCGTGAATGGAACTCTCGCGCTATTCTTGTCACAACCAACCACGCTATTGACCGTTCTAACTACGCCATTGCCGAAAATCGTTCAGGTCACTTTTACTCTCTCTACAGCTCCGATTCTCTTATATCGGACGAAAAGTCAACCAATACTGCTTTCGCTTCTCCTGAACACCTCAACCAACTTAACGTGCAAGGTGTTCCGCCTCACGAGCTACGATACTCTCTGTTTGATAACGAGAAATCTAAACTTTTCACAGAGCCTAGTGAACGGTCAGAAGTGTGTAATCCTTTCCGTCTCCCCATCCAGCAGAGTTTTACAAGTTCAGCTTCTCACTGACGAAAGACCAAGACCTATTGTTCTCATCCCGAAGATCAACTTCCAGGGTACAGTTGGACGAAACGGTTTATGTTTTGGCAGAAAGCAGTTCCCTCTCAGGAACAGCTTACTCCATGACCATTAACAAGAGCCAGGGTCAGACTTTATCCAGGATAGACCTCGACCTCAGGTCTTCCGTTTTCTCCCACGGTCAACTTTACGTTGCTCTTAGTCGCGCCCACATTCGAGACTCCATTATGTGTCTCCTGCCCGAGTGATGGCGTTCCTTACACAGAGAACATTGTTTACCCACCATTCATTGACGCTGCAACCTTAGATCACTCCTCCGACAACGCTTCTTCAAACGGCAATATTCCCGGCTCCAACTCCTTTTCCGGAGAACAAAGTCGATTACCTCCGGGCTCTAACGATACCAATGACGACCCAGATTCTCTTGATGGAGATGAATCACCACCGACCACGCCTCCTTGGTCAACTGTTGCAGAGATCGGTGACGGTGCATGCATGCTCAGATGCGTTTCACGCCATGTCTACGGCACTCCTCACATGCACCAACACGTTCGAGCTCAAATCATCCTGCACATTTCCAACAACCTACATGTTCAGTTTCCTGACTTTGGTGGCCTCTGCTTTTTCGACGTGATCGACAATGGCACCAACACTGAATACATTAAAATTGCCGGGCAGCCTCAACAGCAGTACACCAGCGTGCCAGAATACCTGCTTCTTATGTCTCTTCCCACCACATACGCCACAAACGTTGAACTACGATCTGCCTCCCTACTCTTCCAGTGTGAATTTCGTGTTACCTTAATCGGTGAGCCCTTACCCCCTCCACCTTCCCATAACACCTGCGACCTTCTATACAATGGTTTCAACCACTACAACATGCTAAAATATAACGCCCCTTTTTCTTGATCTCTTTATCCTGCTTCAAATGAACGACTACGACAATGACGACTGGCGACTGCTCCACATCGTTGATGACGTCATCTTCAACGAATACGACCAGGATTATATCGTCAACGTCTTCTTCGTTCACGCCTGGACTCGTGAAAACCTAGCCCAAGCTCTGGACAGTTTCAACTTCCCCTGCGTCACCAACATGGCCCTTGAGTTAGCCTACTCATGGCTCTGATCGGTTATTTCGCTTTACGCTCCTTTCAATCATTCGTCACAACAGGTTATAGCCTGGACCTTTTAGCGCATTGCTTGCATTCATTCTTTGCACCGCCTTTGCAATTTGCGCTCATGTGCATGTCGCTGGAGGTTTCTCTCACGCTTTCCTAGCTTCCCTGCTTCAATAGAGTCGGGGTATGCGTGTGTGCGTGAGCGAGAAGTGGTTGCGTATAAGTCTCGATATTTGACGCATTAACAATGATTCTTCACCTTGCTTGAAGGAAATTGCGCCCACGTATATGTGGCTATGAACATCGGGGTATGCGTGCTCTCCATAATAAGGAGAATGTGCGCAGAGGGGAATTGGTTGCATCACGTTTGTCCATTGCGACGAGGACGCTTTTTTCGTTTCAGTTCTTCAATAGGTCGGGGTGTGCGTGCTCTCCATAAGTAGGATGTGTGCGGGGGGAAAGTGGTTGCATGCAAGGGTGTTACAAAATCTAATATTAATTTGGTCTTCTCACATGCTGCGTTCATTCGTACGAATATTTCTTTTTGTCTTGAGCACCGAGTGCATGCATTGTTTTCTTTGCTTACTTTCGCTGCTTCCATGATGCGTCGACCAACAAAGTGATTATATTTTTCATCCGCCGCCTACCGGCTCTCTCTTACGAACCCGACACCGCTTTTTCAGGATGAATCTACTACACCCACAAATTACAACTACGTACGCTTCTCCGGCGCGAAATATTACGGGCGGTCTACACCCACAAATCACAACGCTCATCCTTTTTTTAATGTCGTGCGTCTTAAATTTTCCCTTTTCGTACATACGCTTCTCCGGCACGAACAATTGCGGACACATCTCCTGCCGTCCTTTCCGACCCCCAGCCTTCTCTTTCTTCTACTTTTCTCTGAGTTTTTTTCAACGCCTCCCATCTTCCGCACTTGGTATGAGGCTCAACTACCTGATATCCTCCGTTTCAGACTCATGCCGG